TTCTCCAGGATGTATTTTGATTACATGATTTCTCTTGCATTTTTAATGTCTCTGGGATCATTTTAGATCATATGCCTCTCAGTTCTTTTTATTAGGCAAGGCTTGTATGAGTGAATGGTGTCATATATTGAAAGTCCAGCAGGAGGCGCCAGACAGACTGAAGAACAACAACTAACTCTTATAAGCAAGTTTTTGGCAAAATGTCAGACCAACCAATAGTTAACAATGGTTGTTAACTACCTAAACACACGTATACTGAAGATTAAGTAGACTTGGTGTATTTACTAAATGACTTTAATTGTTGTTATTTTCTTAAAAACACCATTTTGCAGTGAGAAATGGTGTTTTTGTGTTTCCCAGACTTTTAGAAGTAGTTCACATTAGTAAGACTGGCTGGACAATAACACCGTTCACAAAGAAATAATTAATTTTGGAAAGTTTCATATATGTCGTGTTGTTCACACAAGAAACTATTTCTGCCACTGTTAAAGTAAGTGTGTTAACCACAAAATTACGTCAAGTGTTGAAGGTAAAGTGTTTCTGTTCACGCACTCAGTCCATCAGTCGCTGTTGATCGGCTGCTCTTCAACACGGTAAGACAAACACACTGGTATTTTACTGATGATTAGTGTAGATGAAGCCCATATAACACATGATTTGTGACATGAGAAATATCTTGTGTTGATCTCAGTCATCAGTTGATTTACACACACTGATGTTGTGCATTAATAATCTGCAGATGTGTTAGTTGACTAATGATGGCTTTCGGAAATGCACCCCTGGATGATACTTTTATTCTTTAGTCTAGAGCGCAGTGTTCATTTCTGTCAAAAAATATCTGAAATACTGATTCATCTTACCCCAGTACACGTTTCCACTGTGTAATGGTCCATCCCAGATGCATCTGAGCCCAGAGAAGTTGACGGCACTTGTTCAGATCAACAGAAAGAGGCTGCAGTGAGAGGCGGAGCCAGAAATCACCCATCCTGAGCTGTGTGGGCGGAGCCACAGGTGACTGACAGGGATCATCAGTGATGAGTCAGTGAATTGCTTTATTGCCTAAAAGTGTTTAATATTTCCAGCTTCTGTTATTCTGTCTTCTGTGTTCCTGTAAGTGATCAGTTTTATTAGTGACGGTCTCATATGTGTTTGTGCAAACCCTCACTCCACCAGCAGAGGTCTTCATCTCCTGATCCTGATAGAAATGTTTATGTGGTTTTATCTTGTATTTGTCACACTTCAAAGATGACGAAGGAACCCAAGTGCAAGTGACAGTTTATTAATACGCACAAAAATAACACAGAGAGACTGGGTGGCTGGAAGTCGAAGGTCATTAGAAGCAATAATCACAGTCAACAGAGTGAATCAAAAGTTCATCAGGAAGAACATCAATCTCCGTCAACAGAGCGTATCAAAAGTTCATCGGGGAGCACTCCAATCTCCGTCAACAGAGCGAATCAAAAGATCATCGGAGGAGAAACTTCAACCAGCACACTAACCAGCGAACTCAACGGGGAGAGCCTGACAAAGGACACAGAGACAAGTGAGGACAACGAACTGACAAGGTGAGACAGGAACGCTGAACATTTATAGCCACAGTAAATGCGCTACACCTGGAGCGCAATAATCAGCTGAGCGGTGCTAGGCGACTGATGACCATGATCATGTGACCGCCCAGCTGATAACATGAAAACAACAACAACACCGACAGCCACGCGACTCACACAAACACAGAGACAAACGCAAACACACACCGCAAACACAAATAAACAAATCGCACCACGCAGACACATCATAGAAGAGCAGATAGATCCACAACCGTGACAGTATTGTGCTGGATGTTATATGAACAAGTTCTCTTGTATTTTTTTTTTTTTTTTCTGTAAGAGTATCAGTGATTTAAACGCCACTGGTCATGATTTTATTTGAATGTTGTGTAATGAGTATCTCTGTAATGTATTATACCAGTACTTTGCCAGAGTTTTACAGCTTTTACCATGCCAATAAAGCCACCTGAGTAAGAATAATTGTTGTTGTCGGCCTTCTGACATTCACACAATGATTCTGCATGTGAAAGTCATATTTAAAGTGTATCTTCTATACATTATTCTGCACATTAGTAAACACACTGATCAGCCAATGCCATCACTGCTGGACTGGAGACTCCACCCCCTTTCTGTCACATGACACAAATTAATTACAGTAAGTTGTGCAATTCCTGAATCTACCAGCAGAGGTCTCCATCTCCTGCTGCTGATACTGGAGAAACACTGATGTGCATCAACTGAAGACCAACTTCTATCCTTTTCTGTCTGCAGAAACACCAATAAGTGTGAAATAGACTTAAATAAATTAAATAAACTTAAGTAAAACAAATAAAGTAAAAACACATTCATCTTTAGTCACTGGTAGGGGTGTTTTTTGCTGATGGAGGAACACTGATAGTTCCGCAACTGTGTTTAAAAACAGTGTTAGCCACAGAAAGTCTGTTGGTTTAAAGAAGAAGTGCATCTCTTTACACAGTCAGTCCATCAGTCACTGTTGATCGGCTGCTCTTCAACACGGTAAGACAAACACACTGGTATTTGACTGATGATTAGTGTAGATGAAGCTCATATAACACATGATTTCTGACATGAGAAATATCTTGTGTTGATCTCAGTCATCAGTTGATTTACGGTAACACTTTACAATAACAGTACATGAATAATGATGCATTAATATGTAAACGAAACCTTACTTTATTATGAATTGATGATGAGTTAATCATGAACTAAATATAACTACAGCCAGTAGTCACAAGAGTAAATAACGGCTACCTTAATCTCATGTTAGTACATGTTGTTAATTAATTTATTAATATTTAGGTTTAAACTAAATGTAACTATAATGAACTCGAGCTGTTAATGTATATATATGTATGTATAATGTATACTGAGAATTAGTTGGCAAGTAGAGGCAATGTCACTTAAATTCAACAAACGTATAATAAAGTAATGCTTAGTTTACTTATTAATATCTCATTATTCATGAACTGTTATTCTAAAGTGTCACCTGATTAACACACACTGATGTTGTGCATTAATAATCTGCAGATGTGTAAAGATCTTCCTAACACTAAGAGCTGTTTAGGGTGATGTACATTTACTGTTGATGAGTGTAGAAGTGATGATTAATGCTGGATTCTAGATAGATTTGATGCTGATGTGGCTCAGAATGGCTCCTGCTCTTCATCTGATCTTTCTGCTCATCATTCACAGTGAGTCAATCTTACATTCACATCACTGCTTTATTTCTCTGCATTTACACACACCACACAATCAGACATTATCAGCCATTTTCTAATGATCTGCTGATCATCTTCTCTCTGATATAGGAAGTTAGGCTGAAGAGAGTCTTTAGTTAAAGTGTCATGAAACCCTCCAGTTTTAGCAGTTTTTTCACACCACTGGTTTCAGCTGTGATGCACTGAAGTGCTGACACAGGTCACACTTTATTTTAATGGTCTGTTTGTTGAATGTAAGTTACATTGCATCTACATGCCAACTAAGGCCCCGTTTACACTATTGCGTTTTAGTTTTAAAACGGCGTTTTAGAATGAAAACGATCCGCGTCCACACTCGCGTTTTACCCAGCGTTTCTGAACTGCTCTCCGTCCACACCAAAACGCTGAAAACGCACATCACGTGACCACACACACACTCTTTGGCAATCGCTGGAGCCCATCTACCCAGATGAGAGCTCTGCTAGTCGGACTTCTCATCAAGCATCTCCCGCTGGATCTAATCTCACTATTAAACGGGATATTTCATTCATGTTGTTGTCTTTATCTAACGACATATTCCCTGACTTTGGTCATTGGAATCTATTACTTGTTCTCAGGTAACGTGTTTTGGCTGAGCGCAAAGATAAGTTAATGATTAAACCACGTAGCCTACATTCTGTATATTGACTGATCGCTTGCCTTTATTTCCTGTAATGTATAAACTTATTGTATGTTATACTTTTATAATGGCCATTATCGATTATTAAAACTGGTATTCAGCAAAAGAGAGGGTGTGTTTCGTATTTTCATTGAAATTGAAAGGAGGCAGTGTTGTTATCGGCTCCGTTTTGTTATAAATATCCACACAGTGAAGATGACGCTCATGCAGCACGACACCTCAACATTTCTGCTGTCTGTTTGTTAATATTAAAATAAAAATAGGCAGTTTCTTATATCAAGTTTACATTTTATTGTTGAGAAAGTGAAACAACGTAGCCAGGGTGATGTGAATGAAGTTATAAAGTACACTGTTCCCTGTGAAGATTGACGCGTGTCCTCGGTATGTTTTCCATATCAAACTGAGAAGAAGAGATGCAGCCTTGATCAAACTTGCGAAGTCTGAACTTACACGGAGAAGATGCGGGACTGAACTGTGTGTGGGCTACTTAATATTGAGGAAAAGCCCCTATCAGAGAGGCGAATGTCTGCAGCCCCGCCTCCGTTGTCAGATGTCTCCGTCTTTCCCCATCCACACTGAGACGGAGCAGCAGCGTTTTAGAATGAAAACGGCCTCTCCAGCGTTTTCGAAACGCTCCGTTTTCGGCGCTCAAGAACTCCGGCATAGTGTGGACGGATGGCGTAACCGTAGCAAAACTTATGCGTTTTCAAACTAAAACGCATTAGTGTAAACGGGGCCTAATTCTCATTAGATTATAAGTAGACTGTTAGATTGGGGTTAGTGTAAGCAATGTACTTGCAAAGTTTCATATAGTCAGTTAAATGTCTTTTGAAGGAGCAGAATCAACATATTAAGCAGACAGTCTACTAATACTCAAATAAACCATCCAAATAAAGTGTTACCCTGAAAAAAATATCCATCTGAATAGGGAAATTCACAGAATTTTTTTTTGATGAACTTTACTACGGTAACACTTTATTTTTGATGGTTTATGAGCTACACACTGAAATCATTATTCATATTCACAAGATCAGCTTAAAATATCATCTGTAATGAGTCCCTGTTTACAACTAGTAAAACAGCATGTACTAGTGTCGTATAGTCCAGTTTACTAATAAAACTACATTTGAATCATGCTTATTTCTGTTTCAGGGGTGTCTAGTGCTGGTTGGGGTGTGAATTACAGTACTTCACACATCTGTGCTCTACAAGACTCAACAGTAATAATGAACTGCACCTTTACACACCCTGATGGATTGCAGATCATGAGAGCCTTCTGGCACAAAGATCAGGGAATACAAGTTGTAGAGCCTCCAGATCTGTCTGTGGACTCTGAATACAGTCAGAGGCTTCAGTATCTGGGAGATAAACAGCAGAACCACACAGTCAGACTGAGTCATGTGACAAAGAAAGATGAACACGAGTATTATTTCAGATTCATTACTAATGTAACACATGAAAAATGGACTGGTAGACCAGGAGTGATTCTCTCTGTCACAGGTGACTCTCCTGAGGTTTCTCTCTTCTTGTGGTCATTATGTAGAATAATAATCAGTGTATGAGAGCAGCACTAGATATAATGTGTGTGTTGTGTTCAGATCTTCAGCTGGAGTCTCCTGAGAGAGTGACAGAGGGAGATTCAGTCCGTCTGACATGTAGAAGCAGCTGTAATCTGACTGACACACCAACATTCATCTGGTACAGAAACTCACACACATTGACTAATATTGGAGATGAACTCAACATCAGGTCAGTCAGTAGAACAGAAGCAGGACACTACAGCTGTGGTGTGCAGGGACAAACGTACATCTCTCCTGCTGTTTATCTCGATGTCACATGTAAGTTTTTATCTTTTTTACCTTTTAGTGTTTACCTGTTTAAAACATACAGACTTACAATAAATATGAAAGTAGTCGAGCTGTAAAAGCTAAAATACTCGCAACTTTACTTTCGCAATAGTGCTACCAATTGGTGTGAAAGACGTGGTGTTGTGAATGCTTGTGAGTGTCATCACCTCAGTTTTGTCATTTTAAATGTGACCTTGTTTGAGATGTTTTTATGACAACTTGACATTAGCAAGATAACATAACGTCATAAATCAATCATAAACATTATTGCCATGAGGCCATTATAACTGTCATCAATATTTTCACAACACTTTACTATTGGAACTAAATGAATTTGTCATTAAAAGTTCTCAGTGAAAGTAACAATACCCTGTCAAATAAGTTTATAACAGCATCATCAAAGGGATTGTTCACCAAAATTTGAAAATTCATTTATTTATTATTTACCAATTGTTAAAGTTACATTTAAAGCTCGGAAATCGCACTTAAAACACATTGCAAATGCTTATTACAATTGTTAACCTTAAAGAAAGAGTAAAATCCTCCAAATATTCTCTTCATTTACTGATCATACACTCAATAAGCATTTTTTTCCTATTTTAAAAAAAAAAAAATATATATATAAATATATATATAAAAAATATATATATAAATATATATATAAAAATATATATATATATAAAGATATATAAAAGCAAAAGACTGCCCCTTTAATATGCTGTATTTGGTACACATTTTAACTGATTTTATATTTAATTTTAAATCTTGTTTCTCCTGCAGATGCTCCAGATACTCCTGTGATCTTCCTCAGTGGATCTGCTATAATAAAGGAGGGAGATTCAGTGACTCTGATGTGCATCAGTAACTCAAACCCTACTGCGCTGAACTTCAGCTGGTTTGAGGAGAATCAAAGCTCAGCTGTTGGATCTGGACAGAGTTTCAGTGCAGTACAGAGTGGACGCTTCTACTGTGAGGCTCACAATCCACATGGAGCTCAGAGATCAGACGCCGTCACTGTCACTGGTGAAGCTTTTATCATCACACTCCTGTAACTTCATCAGTCTGGAGAGTTAATCATGATCTGCTTTATCTTTCAGTTCAGCAAGGCGCTGGGAAAAACATCATCATCATCACAGCAACATCTGGAGGATTATTAGTCATCATCTTCATTATCCTGTTTGCAATGTGAGCACATCATATAAAACTGCAATAATAACTTGTATAGTACTTTATTTACCTTAGATTTAAGTTAAATACATTTTCTTTTCTTTTGACAGTGTTTTTAAAAGGAAGAGCAGAAGATCAGCAGTGAAAGAGTCTGTGGTGAGATGATCTTCATTATTAACTGTGTTTACCTGCATGTTTCCTACAGCAGTGATGATCGTACAGAGATATTAAGAGTGCAGAGTAAAAACTGATTTACATTGAGCTCCTCAATCATTAATCCAGTTCAGTCTGGTTCAGGTACCATTTTCATGTCCTTGGCTGCTTTGTTTAAATCGCAAACCATTTATGCACCCATCAGTGTGCTGGTTTGAAAAGGAGGTGTGTTAAGGCGCATTATTGACATGTTGCTATTTTGAGGAAAATGAAATAAACCAAACCAATCACTGACTAAAAGCTGCTCTACAGTTAATGGTGCGGTTTGCTTTTATTTAAAGGGCACGTTAGAGATACGCAGGTCCAAAATGTTTCTTATTACACACAGAGGGATGCACAGCAGCACACAAACATCTTCAAATGTGAAAAATGAAAGGATTAAAATGCAAAAAAATATTATTGTCTACCTCCTACCACACATACTTTACCTCAGGGGGCTTTAGTGAATCCGACTCATTCTGTAGATGGTCTTTAACGTTGACTGTGTAGTGAAGTACTCGGTTTTTCTGCCAACAAAATCCACCAGTGTAAATAGCAAATCTGTCATGGGGTAACCACAGCTTGCTCCTAAAGTGAATGGCAGATGAGACTCCAACTGGCTTAATGCAATTTACGTCCAACAACCCTTTTTTTTACATCCAACAACCCCATTCACTGTGTGCACTAATTGTTTATCCTGTCCTTAAAATGAAGAGATCCTGTGTCGTGCACTTTAGACCACAAGTTTAGATGATTAAAATAGAGCCACAATGTCCTTCTCTCTGTGCAGATCTCAGACACATATGCAGGTCTGAATCTCCAGTCTGCGACCTCTAACCTGTACAACACACTCACAGTAAGTGAAAGTCAAAGTCAGGCAATGATCACTGATGATCAGATGATTGATGATCTCTCGCTGTCTTTCACACAGAGCGTTCACCACAGACCTGCTGAAAACTCCTGCTCCACTCTTGATCCTCAGAGCTCTTCTGAACATCACAATCCACCAGTAAGAGACAATATCAGCCATAAACCCTCTCAGCAGCAGTTTGATTATTGGATGAGCCTCGTCAAAGAGTTTAATGTGGTTGAGCTTCAGTCTTTCTTCATCTTATTGTCTGTTCAGATCAACAGGAGGAGGCTGCAGTGAGAGGCGGAGCCAGAAATCACCAATCCTGAGCTGTGTGGGCGGAGCCACGGGTGATCATCAGTGATAAGTCAGTGAATTGCTTTATAGTCTTAAAGTGTTTAATATTTCCTGCTTTTGTTATTCTGTCTTCTGTGTGCCTGTAAGTGATCAGTTTCATTAGTGACGGTCTCATATGTGTTTGTGCAAAACCCTCACTCCACCAGCAGAGGACTCCATCTCCTGATACTGATAGAAATGTTTATGTGGTTTTATCTTGTATTGAGCTTGAAGTTTTATAAACATGCTCTCTTATTTTTTTTTTTTCTGTATAGAGTTTCAGTGACTTAAACACCTCTGGTCATGATTTTATTTTTGATTTCTTTGTAATGTGTATCTCTGTATTGTATTGCTATCAGTGCTTTGCCACAGCATTTAATCGTTTACCATGCTAATAAAGCCACCTAAGTATGAATAACTGACGTTGTCGGCCTCCTGACATTCATAAAGTGATTAAACTGTTAAACTCATCTGAGATTTTGCATGTGAAAGTCATATTTAAAGTGCATCTTTTATACATTATTCTGAACATTAGTAAACACACTGATCAGCCAATGCCTTCACTGCTGGACTGGAGACTCCACCCCCTTTCTGTCACATGACACAAATGAATTCCTGTAAGTTGTGCAAAGCCTGAATCTACCAGCAGAGGTCTCCATCTCCTGCTGCTGATACTGGAGAAACACTGATGTGCATCAACTGAAGATCAACTTTTATCCTTTTATTTCTGCAGAAATGTTAATAAGTGTAAAATAGAGAGTCTCGCTTCAGTTCTGCAGTCTTTAAATTAACTTCAAGTAAAAATGCTTTTCTTTAGTCACTGGTAGGGTTTTTGCTGAGAGAGGAACACTGATAGTTCTGCAATTATGTGTAAATTAGTGTTAGCCACAGAAAGTCTGTGTGTTTAAAGAAGAAGTGCATCTCTTTACACAGTCCGTCCATCAGTCGCTGTTGATCGGCTGCTCTTCAACACGGTAAGACAAACACACGGGTATTTGCCTGATGATTAGTGTAGATGAAGCTCATATAACACATGATTTGTGACATGAGAAATATCTTGTGTTGATCTCAGTCATCAGTTGATTTACACACACTGATGTTGTGCATTAATAATCTGCAGATGTGTAAAGATCTTCCTAACACTAAGAGCTGTTTAGGGTGATGTACATTTACTGTTGATGAGTGTAGAAGTGATGATTAATGCTGGATTCTAGATAGATTTGATGCTGATGTGGCTCAGAATGGCTCCTGCTCTTCATCTGATCTTTCTGCTCATCATTCACAGTGAGTCAATCTTACATTCACATCACTGCTTTATTCCTCTGCATTTACACACACCACACAATCAGACATTATCAGCCATTTTCTAATGATCTGCTGATCATCTTCTCTCTGATATAGGAAGTTAGGCTGTGCTGGAGAATCTGTTTTCTCAGTAGAGAGGCTTTAGTTAAAGTGTCATGAAACCCTCCAGTTTTAGCAGTTTTTCACACCACTGGTTTCAGCTGTGATGCACTGAAGTGCTGACACAAGTCACACTTTATTTTAATGATCTGTTTGTTGAATTTAAGTTACATTGCATCTACATGCCAACTACTTCTCATTAGATTATATGTGGACTGTTAGATTGGGGTTAGTGTAAGTCTGGGGGGGCGCCAGAGCATGTCAGGGGAGGCGCGGGAAAAAATATTATATAATAAAAATATAATTATTAAGTTTAATTATTATATGTATTTTTTATTATATTTAAACGTTTTAATTAAACAAAGCAAAAAAAATAATACGTCAAAAATAAGAAAACCTTTTTTTACCCAGAAGGCCATAGCTGTGAATTCGCTTCTGTTTGGCAAGCCCGCCAATACAGGTATATGCCTGCTAATACAATGGATCGGTTTCTGAGACCCCCCCGATTCAAAGCCTTCAAGTTCAGGGCTTAAACCCAAAAGACGAGGATATGATGATCAGTATTTCAGTTTAGGATTTACGTGGACAGGACCAGCTGATGATCCACGACCTTTATGTGTGGTTTGTCAAGATATTTTGGCTAATGATAGCATGAGACCCGCTAAACTTCGACTGTTTTGACTGGGATGGACAGTTCTTGGATCTGTTCTATTCATATTGAACAATCATCCTAGTTTTAAAAATGTTATATTAAAATACTTGTTATTACTCTTTAAATAATTGCACTTTCATGCAAATGATGATAAAAGTGAGTTAACAGTCTGACATCTGTCTGTGTCTTTATATATACTGTGTATATATATATATATGTGTGTGTGTGTGTGTGTGTGTGTGTGTGTGTGTGTGTGTTTGGGAGGAGGGGGGCGCCAATGGATAAGTTGTGTCAAAAGGGAGGCCCACTGTCTTAGACTTTGAAAAACCCTGGTGTAAGTTAACATGTACCTGCAAAGTTCTTTATAGTCAGTTAAATGTCTGTTGAGGGAGCAGTATCAGTAGATATTAAGCAGTCTACTATTGCTTAACTGGACCATCAAAATATAATGTTACCCTGACACAAATATCCATCTGAAGATGGAAATTCACTGAATTTCTTTTCATGAACTTTACCACATTAACACTTTATTTTGATGATCCATTTGACTATTAGTAGACTGTGTGCTTAAAGTCTGCTCATACTGCTCCTTCAACAGACATTTAACTGACTATATGAAACTCTGCCGGTACATTTCAGCTCACCCCAACCCTAACAGTGGACTTATAATCTACGAAATGAGAATTAGTTGGCATGTAGATGCAATGCAACTTAAATTCAACAAACTGACCATCAAAATAAAGTGTGTCCTGTACTACTGACCTACAAACACAAAAATAATGCTTCAGCTCACCACATAATTGTATGCAACATAAACATAATTTTGGAGATGTAAAATCAACAATATTTAGAACAGAACAATTTACAGTAACAAATAATAATGTACGAACATGTAAACTACATTTGACTTCATTATGGACTAATGATGAGTTAAAGCGTGTGGTAATATCATGAGTTTTCATTATTGGCTGATTTAAACTTTAATATTCTTTCTCATTCAGCAGGATTTATTTACCGTAATCTGGAGTGTTCATTAATTAACAAACATACTAACAAGTTTTTCATTTATTATTCATCACACTATTAGTTGATAATAAAGAAACATGCTATTAAATGCAGTACATTATTATTTATTAACTTTTTTTGCCCTGATATTTTCCATTATTGTTTTTTCTCAGCTCTCTCTCTCTCTCTCTCTCTCTCTCTCTCTGTTTATTTCTGTCCTCCATCAAGACTGAAGTCATTCACACTGAGATCATTATTATTTATATTCACAAGATCAGCTTAAAATATCATCTGTAATGAGTCCCTGTTTGCAATATTGAAAACCGAGTTCCTAGTGTCTTATAGTCCAGTTTACTGATAAAACTACATGTTAATCATGATTATTTCTGTGTTTAAGGGGTTACTGCTGCTGAATGGGGTATGAAATACAATGCTACAGAAATATGTGCACTACAGAACTCATCAGTGACAATCAGCTGCAATTTTACACACCCTGATGGATTGCAGATCAAGAGAGCCTTCTGGAACAAAAACGAGGTAAAACATGATGGAGAGCTTGCAGATCTGTCTGAGGACCCTGAATACAGTCAGAGGCTTCAGTATCTGGGAGATAAACAGCACAACCGCACTGTCAGACTGAGTCATGTGACAAAGAAAGATGAACATGACTATTATTTCAGAATCATTACTGATGTAACAAAGGAAAAATGGATTGGCATTCCAGGAGTGCGTCTCTCTGTCACAGGTGACTCTCCTGAGGTTTCTCTCTTCTTGTGGTCATTATGTAGAATAATAATCAGTGTATGAGAGCAGCACTAGATATAATGTGTGTGTTGTGTTCAGATCTTCAGCTGAAGTCTCCTGGGAGTGTAAAAGAGCGAGATTCAGTCCGTCTGACATGTAGAAGCAGCTGTGAACTGACTGACACACCAACATTCATCTGGTACAGAAACTCACACACATTGACTAATATTGGAGATGAACTCAACATCAGTCCAGTCAGTAGAACAGACGCAGGACACTACAGCTGTGGTGTGCAGGGACAAACCTACATCTCTTCTGCTGTTTATCTCAATGTCACATGTAAGTTTTCATCTTTTTTACCTTTTAGTGTTTACCTGTTTAAAACATTCAGAATTAATACACATGAAAGTAGTCGAGCTGTAAAAGCTAAAATACTCACTTTCACAATAGTGCTACCCATTGGTGTGAAAAAGTGGTGTTGTGAATGCTTGTGAGTGTCATCACCTCAGTTTTGTCATTTTAAATGTGACATTGTTTGAGATGTTTTTATGACAACTTGACATTAGCAAGATAACATAACGTCATAAATCAGTCATAAACATTATTGCCATGAGGCCATTATAACTGTCATCAATATTTCTCATTACTTTTCTACTGGAACTGAATGAATTTGTCATTAAAAGTTTTCAATAAAAGTATTAATACCCTCTTAAATAATTTTATGACAGCATCATTAAAGGGATAGTTCACTCAACAATTGCAAATGCTCATTACAATTTGTCTATAATAATAATAAGGTTCTATCTGATATTGTTTGTCAAAATTGAGTTATTAACATATTCTTATTAAATGACAACTTATTTACATTATGGCACTTTTTTATGAGCTGTTTGCATTTTTAAGACTTTTCATTTAAAAAAACAAAAACAAATGTTACACACATACTATTGGCTATATAAGCTCAATATCTCAAAATCATTCAGAACGCTGACAGAACCTTATAACTCCAAGATTACGAATTGTTAACTTCACAAATCTGCTTTAAAATCCTCAAAATTCTCCTCATTTACTGATCACACACTCAGTATGCAGAGTTGACTTATTTTTAAACAAGGAAAAATTATATAATAACAACCAATGCCCCTATATGCTGTATATGGTACACATTTTAAACTGATGTTCATTTTTAATTTTAAAATCGTATTTTTACGTTTCTCCTGCAGATGCTCCAGATACTCCTGTGATCTCCATCAGTGGATCTGCTGTAATAAAGGAAAACGATTCAGTGACTCTGAACTGCAGCAGTGACTCAAACCCTCCTGCAGAAATCAGCTGGTTTAAAGGAGAAACATCTGTAGAATCTGGAAGAATCTTCAACATCTCCAAGATCAGCTCTGATGACAGTAAAAAATACAAGTGTAAAGCCAAAAATTACCTTGGAGTGAAATACTCTGATCCTGTGACTTTAGATGTCCAGTGTGAGTTTATGATGCTTCAGTAACTGATATATTAAATCCTCCTAAAGGTTCACCAGTGACAGTGACACTTCTGTCACTGGTGAAGCTTTTATCATCACACTCCTGTAACTTCATCAGTCTGGAGAGTTAATCATGATCTGCTTCATCTTTC